CTCTGGCCTTGGGGGCGGCCTGGCCTCCCTCCAGGAGGGACAGGCGGCATGAGGCAGGGGCAAGGACTCCGTAGCCCTAGGCTGGAGCCGGATGGCTGGACGGGGTTCACCATCCCCGGGTCCTGGTGGTTCACTGGAAAACGGACGCCTCCCAGTGAAACCAGTATGGCCAGTGGGAATACCCCGGTCACCCTCATTGTCTGTGCCAAATCCCCCTCCCAGCCAGGGGGGCTGAGCCCGTCCCTGCTCCTCTGCACGTAGGATGGTGGCCTCAAAGCTGCTGCTGTCGCTGCTGGTTGCAGCTCTCCTGCTGCAGGTGGCCACCACGCTGAAGATCAGCGCCTTCAACATCAAGGTGTTTGGGGACAGCAAGATGTCCAACCAGACTATCGCAGATATCATCGTCTCTGTGAGTGCTGGGGGAGAGGAGCAATCCTGGCCACTCTCCGGTCTCTGGGATGCAGCCAGCTTGGGGCAGTCGGACACTAGCTTTCTGCAGGCATCTGTCCATCCATGCGTCCATCCGTGCATCCACGCACCCATCAATCCACCTGTCCACACACCCCCATCCATCCACCTATGCCTCCATCCATCCACCCATCCATCTGTCCATCCATCCACCCCTCCATCTGTCCATCCATCCATCTATGCCTCCATTCATACGTGCCTCCATCCATGCATCCATCCATCCATGCCTCCATCCATCCACCCACCCATCTGCTCTTCCCCCATCACCACCTCCAACCTGGGGCCATCTCCACTCTTGCCGGTCCCCAGCCGAGGACAGGTGATGCTCGGTGCTGCCCAGGTTCCTCACTCAGAGCAGCCTGCGAGTGAGGAGCTGCTGGGATGGTGGGTGGTAGACAAGCGGGTGTTAGAGGGCACTGTGTCACCCCAGGGTCCTTCCAAGCCAGAGGACACCAGCAGAGGAGCTCCCTCCCTGGCTCTCGGGACCCTGCTGCCCCCCTGTTGCCAGCTTGGGAGCCTTCACAGCCCAGCCCAGGCACCCATGGGTGCCCCTGTGAGCAGCTCCTGGCCAGGAGCAAGCAGCTCTGAGCTTGTCCCCCCAGATCCTGTCGGGGTACGACATCACCGTGGTGCAGGAGGTCCAGGACTCCGACCTGAGCGCTGTGAAGAAGCTCATGGACCAGCTCAACAGGTGGCCCTGATGGTGCAGGGCGGGGGGTGCCTGCAAATGGGATGCCGGGGCAGATACTGGCTGGTGTCTCATCGTGCCGGGGCACCTCTGGCGTGGCCAGAGAGAGCCCGCTGGGTGCTGGGGGCACCGGGAGCCTCCGCTCACCCTCTCTGCATCTCTCTCCCAGCGAGTCCCTGCACCCATACAGCTTTTTGAGCAGCATCCCCCTGGGTCGGACCACCTACAAGGAGCAATACCTCTTCATCTACAGGTAAGGGACGTCCCCAGGGTCCGGCGTCCCCTGTGTCACCCGCCGTCCCCCCCAGCAGCCCCCAAAGGGAGGTGGGTACCTCTGGCGGCCCCGGCTGTGGCGGGAGCAGTGCCAGGGGCTGCCCTGCTCTCCTCCCTCAGGTCGGACATGGTCTCCGTGCTGGGAAGCTACTACTACGACGACGGCTGCGAGTCCTGTGGGACTGATACCTTCAGCAGGGAGCCCTTCATTGTCAAGTTCTTCTCGCCCACCACGCGTGAGCAGAGCCGGCGCATGGCAGCACCTCGGCCGGCACTGGGGGCTGCCCGGACCTGGCAAGGGGTCCCCTCTGCGCGGGGCTGAGCCTGGAGCTGTGCCTGCCAGGCGGGGGGATTGCACGCTGGAGCCCACTTGAGGGGCTCCACTGGGGTCCTTCACTGCTGTGGGGCCTTCTCCCACCCATGGGTGCTCAGGGGTCCTGCGTACCTGCCTGGCATGGCCAGCACTGCCTGCTGTTTGGCATGCCACCATGTGCCATGTCCCACCATCTCCCATCTCCTCCCATTGCCTGTCATCTCCCACCATCCGCTTCCTCCAGTTGCCTGCCATCTCCCATCGCCTGCATCTTCCATCATGTACCATCTCCCATCCCCTCCCATTTCCCTCCTTGTGCCATCTCCTACCCCGTGCCATCACCTCCACCTCCCCAGCAGCTCCCCAGGGCGCACACACTCTCCCATCTCTCTCCTACCCCCATCTCCTTCCCAAAACCACGGCGGCTTGGAAAAAATGATGGAAAACAAGCAGCACACCCCAAACCATGTGCAGAGGGATGCAGCTCCCCACTGGAAATTCTGGCCCGGAGGACAGGCAGACCACAAAAAGCCAACACACCCTTTCCCTCCAGCAGCTTTTCCCGGCCGGTAGCTGGGGCTTGACCCGGGGTGATCTACCGGGGTTCCCACTCCCTTCCCGGGTGCTGCACCCAAGCCGGGGGCTGATGGCCGCCTGTTCAGCAGAGGTGGAGGAGTTCGTGATGGTGCCCCTGCATGCCAAGCCCAGCAGTGCGGTGGAAGAGATCGACACGCTCTACGACGTCTACACCGACGTTGTCAACAAGTGGGCGACTAACGTAAGCGGCGGCAGGGAGGTCGGCTCCTCCCTGGAGCAGCCGGGCGGGCTGGGGTATGGCCACCGCACATCCCGGCGGCCGTCCTGGGATGGACGTGTCCCATGGGCGACCTCTCATACCCATCGGAGCGGGTGCCACCCCAGCAATATCCGGGCAGGGAGCTGCTGGGTGGCTCTGCTGCCATTACTGGGGATTGTTCCCCCATGCTGGGGAGCCCCAAGGGGGTTTTCTGTTGCCCCATAAGATTTTAGGGAGTCCTTCATGCCCCGTAAGGTCCATGGTCAGGGACACAGTGTGCTGCCCCACAGAACATCCTCCTCCTGGGCGACTTCAACGCCGACTGCTCCTACGTGACCAGCGCCCAGTGGCCGTCAATCCGCCTGCGCTCCCTCGACGCCTGTGAGTGGCTCATCCCTGACAGCGCCGACACCCCCGTCGCCAGCCACACCGACTGCGCCT